CCAGGGGATCCGACAGCCTCTTCTGTCCTCCTCAGGCATTGCATGACACGGATGCACTTACCTACATGCAGACAATACTCGCATACACATAAAAATTATTCTGGGGCTGGAGAGATGGCTCAGCTGTTAAGAACACTGGTGGCTCTTGCAAAAGACTCAGGTTCAAATCCCAGCACCCACATGCAGCTAACAGTTGTTCAGAACTCCATTCCCAGGGGATTCGACAGCCTCTTCTGATCTCTGCAGGAATTGCATGACACAGGTGCACTTACCTACATGCAGGCAATACACGAATACACATAAAATAAATAAAAAAATTTTTAAAAATTACTATTTTTCATTTATCTTAAATTTTTTTTTACATTTGTTTATTTTGTGTATATGTGTGGGTATGTGTGTGCCACAGTGCATGTGTGGAGGTCAGGTTCTCTCCTTCAACCATATGGGTCCCAGGGATCAACCTCAGGTTGTCAGGCTTGGCTGCACGTACCTTTACTTGCTGAGCCATCATGCCAGCTCCCTCATTTAAAAAATATATGTAATTAGGAGATTATGATTGTTTGAGAACTTTGACAATAAAATCTCTGTAGAAATGTTACAAAGGCATAGTACATTCTGCCTACAGAGGGAGAAACAACCTAACTACTGAGAAAAAAGAAACTCTAAACAAGGTGACATCTGTTTCATATTACCTAAATTTTTAACAAAATTCTGAAATTCTGTGGCTAGACAGATGACTCAGCAGTTAAGAGCACTGGCTGCTCTTGCAGAGGTTTGCTTCCCAGCACCTATATGGAGACTAACAACCATCTGTAACTGCAGTTCCTGGGGATCTAGTACTCTCTTCTGGCTTCCACGGGTTTGCATGCACATTATGCCCTTACATACGTGCTGCCAAAATATACATACATAAAAGAAAATTTTCAAAAATTCCGAATTTCTTTTAAAAACGTTTTACACGTGTGTGTGTGTGTGTGTGTGTGTGTGTGTGTGTGTATGTGTATGTATACATACATATGAAGTGATGTATTTGTGTGAGTGTGGGCAGAGGTCAGAAGACAACTTTCAAGAGTTGCTTCTCTCATTCCACGAGTTCTGGGGCTCAAACTCAAGTTGTCAGGCTTGCACAAGTGTTTTTATCAGCTGAGCCATCTGCTGGCCCATGAGTTTTCTTTCTTTTCTTTTTTGATTTTAAATAACATTTATTTATTGTCTGTGTGACTATGTGCATGCTGTGGTGTGTGTATGGAACTCAGAGAACAACTTTGGGGAATCAGTCTCTCCTTTCACCACATGGCTCCAGGGATCAAACTCAGGTCAGGCTTGGCCCCAGTGCATTTACCCAGTGAGCCATCTTGCCAGCCTGAATTTTGTGTATGATAGGAAATATATTTCTAATAAGTTAAAATGAATTTGAAATAACCATAGATTGAAAGGAAGTTACAAAAATTATGTAGATGATATAGGTTGGTAGTAGAGCACTACCTATCATGTGTTCCATCCCTAGTACAGCACACTCTGTGTCAGAGAGAGAGAGCCCTTTCACCTAAGTGTTCCAGTTTCATTTCTGCTGCTATGACACATGGCCTGACCAAAAGCAAGTTTGGGGAGAACAGGGTTTATTTCAGTTTACAATCCCAGCTTATAGTCCATCATTGAAGGAGCTCAAAGCAGGAGAACTTGAAGACAGGCCTACTTGCTATTGCACACAGCATTACCTCTGACCAGGGAACTCACATTACAGCCAAAGAAGTGAAGCAGGTGTGGAGGTTGCTGTTGGCTGACTCTCAGGCTGGCTATCCTCAGCTAGCTTTCTTACCCAATTCAGAACCACCTGCCTAGAGAGGATACCACCCACATTGGGATGCCCTCACCCACATCAATAACAAGACAGTCCCCCACAGACATGACCATAGGCCAACCTGATCTAGGCTTTCTCTGGTGAGGCTCCCTTCTCAGGTGATTCTAGTTATAACAAGTTGACATTCGAAACTAACCAGTGCACCTAGTTTCGGGGTTTAAAAAACATTTTTCTATTTCTGTCTTCTCTGTATCCTTACTTTTGGCTTTTATAAATAACAGCCATTTGCTTTCACTGAGTTTATAAATTTATGATTATATCAAGTAAAAATTTTAGCAAAATCAAAGTAAGGGATAAAGACAGTAGAGAAAAGAGATAGAATTGGGGTCCTTGTTTTGTTTTATGAAATGGAAGTCTTGCTATGTTGCTTGGTCTGGCCTGGTACTCTAGCTTAAGTGTCCCTCCCGTCTTAGTTTCCCGTGTTAGAACTGGAGATGTCCCTATGCCTAATGAGTTCCAGGTTCAGAGGAGGGTTTAAGGATAATAATAAAAGTTAGCTGGGGGTGGTGGTATGCACCTTTTATCCCAGTACTTGGGAGGCACAGGCAGGAGGATCTCTGAGTTTGAAGACAGCCTGGTCTCCATTCCCAGTCCAGTTCAGTCTGGGCTACAGGGAGACCCTGTCTCAAAAAAAAAAAAAAAAAAAAA